TGTGGATAAAAGTGCAACAGTGTGCGAGCATTGTGTTGTTTATGCTAACAGCAACACCACCAACATGTCAGCTTAGAGATTTTCCTAACAATCAACATATACCGCACCAAACCGAAAACCGTGACCACGAAACCGTGAACCGAACCGAACCGTGGATTGTGTGAACCGTTCCACCCCTAGTGCCTATAGTCTGTTAGAGTCTATGTCATAATATTAGTCATATTATGTAATTAAAAAGTGGGATAAAATATCATTAAAAAAAACACAGCAACTCTACAAAACAATACAGAGCGGGTTTACATAAAGTGATCGTTTTGGTAAAAGCCAGAGAATGGATCGGAAACATGCCTTATACGCTATTATCTCATTTGCAATGGGATGCAAAGTGACCTTTTTTAATGTAGTCTAGTAAAATAAATTAATAATTAAATAGGAAACGCGGGGCAACATGAATGGAACAAGGTGTTACGTTCACAGCTGGGTAACAGAGCGATAATTTAACAGCCAGGTAATTAAAACAATACACATGTATCGGGGACATCATTAAATCAAACGCAGTGTGTCCCAGGGCCCTGGCAGAATTACATGAAGGACGAATGTCAGAAAAGGCCTTCGGCTGAAAATGTGAGCGAGTGTGGAGCAATTTCGCCGGAGCAGCAGGAGAATTCAGGTTAAAGCAGAGCGGATTTTGAGCGTCCTGGCGCAACTTTGACCTGTGGAGCAAATGAGCAAACTTCTTGAGCTGGGAGCGGGAATTGGCGCTCCGCTCTGTTTACATGCTCTGCTGGTGACAGCATCATGGTTTGGGCCTGCTTGTCTTCAGCAGGGAAGATGGTTGAGACTGATGGGAAGGTGGATGGAGTCACATACAGAACCATTCTGAAGGAAAACCCGCTGGAGTCTGCAAAAGACCTGAGACTAGGATGGAGATTTATCTTCCAACAAGACCATGATCCAAAACATGAAGCAAAATCCACAATAGTTCAACATATCCAGGTGTTAGAATGGCCTAGTCAAAGTTCAGCCCTGAATCTAATGGAGAATCTGTGGAAAGACCTGAAAACTGCTGTTCACAAACACCCTCCAGTAGTTTTGTACACCCAAATGTTCAGTTTTTTATTTGTTAAAGTTTTAAATGTGTAATAAATTTGATTCCACTCCATGATTGTGTCCCACTTGTTGTTGATTCTTCACAATAAAATCTTATATCTTTATGTTTGAAGCCTGAAATGTGGCAAAAGTTCAAAAAAGTTCAAGGTGGCAAATACTTTCGCAAAGCATAGGTGTTAAAAAAACAAACAAACTTCAGAATAACTGAGTCAAAGTCTTGTTGTTTCACATTTAAGCCTGTTTCGTAGTAATAATGACTCAGGTAATTTGCAGCAGCATAATTTGGAAATGGAACCGTTACCCAGAATAATGGTAGACAAGACTCTACTAAAAATATAAACATTTTTCCATCTAGGATTAAAAACCTTCTTTGTTCTAAATTCCAAACATTTACAGTATTTAGGAATGTTAGTTTACCAAAAGCATCTAATCTAAAAAATAAATCAATAGATTAATCGATAACTGCAGCCATAATCTAATTAATTTAAGGAATTAATCAAACCTGACTTGCAATTTAATTGAACTGGGATGTTTTTCTAGCTGTCCTCATTTTGTACAGTGGATATGACAAACAGGTTCTGTATTAGATCCCATTTATTCCAGGGTGTGAGCAGATGTCATAATTACTAATTAAACTTTTCTATAGATGTTACCTAACTTAAAATAAAAGCTAAACAACAATGTCAGATTTATTCGATAGGAATGGTTAGAGGTTAGAATATTGCTTCTCCTCTCTACTGCAAGGAAAAATTAATTAATTCAAATGAAACTATGAATTTTAAAAATTTGCATGTAATTTGGTGCAACAAGCAAACCAATCATTTGCTTTAAAGGGTGGGGCACAGTAACAGAAGACTGCCACTATGAGGAGATGTCACCAGAAGGAATGTGTGTTTAGAGAGAAAGAGAGAACGACTTACAGGCGTTTGATTCCTGATTCAGGCTGTGCTGCTGATCTGGAGCGGGACCCCAGTTCAGGAGACGGGGATGGAGACGGAGTTGTAGCATCATCCTCTATTTCATCACTGTAAAAAGACGCAATTATTACCGTCCAAGAAACACAGAGTGTGTAAAATGCAGGAGAACTTTTATTATTTTACTTAATGCAACAATAAAGTGTGAAAAACTGGCTCCAGTATTTTTTTTTTCTTTTCCCAAGGGGACACAGAACAAAATCATAAAAAAAACTGGAAACTTAGTTTAGTGTTTATATCAAAACACCCAAAAAGTCTGATCCAACAGATAAAACTGTAATCCTATCAGAATTAGGGCTGAAACAATTAATCGGATTAATCATGATTAATAGATTATTGGAATCACTGTCAACTAATTTAATAATCGATTGATCGTTAAATGGGAGAATAGAGACTCTTAAACATCCCTTTAGCTGGCAGAGCGACACATTTAGACCAGATTGCAGAAAAATATATAAAAAATGAGCATTTAAGATAAAAAATAATGTTTTTCATCTGTCAATATGCTCTATCCTGAATTCCTCAAATGGAAAGGTTTTAGTTACACCTTGTTTAAATTAAAATTGTTTTAAAGAAACCTTTTTCTATCTAATTATTAATCGAAAAAACAATCTACAGATTATTTGATTTGCAAAATAATCGTTAATTGCAGCCCTGATCTTAATACTACAGAACCCAAAAACTGATGTGGGGGAAGAAAAAAATAATACTAGAACGTGCTGAGGAAATACTAATCTGTGTGCAAACTTGTTCTCACGATGTACTCAAGTATATGGTGCACAAAATACTAAAACCTAATCCTCCTAAAGCGCACCTTCTTTAACAGAGGAACAAACCAACATGATAGACAAGGATAGTCTGATGGAGTTTTATTTTAGCCATCGGGCAAACTCTAGAGATTCTGATCAGCCTGGCTTTGCAAGGATTTCTCATTAGTGAGGAATTCAAATAGAATATTGATAGCCAGGCATGAATGATGACCAAATCTACTGATGTTTGAAGGACTGTGCTGTTAAATAACACCTGCTGCTGTCTGGTTAGTGTTTCTCTCGAACTCTTCAAGTTTCAGCACTGCAAAAACGATCTAGAAATATGTAAAGATTTCTTAAATTAAGTGTATTTCCCCTCAATTTGAGCAGGTAAATAAGATTATTAGCCAATAGAATGAGTAGTTTTGCTCTTAAAATAAGATAATTAGATAAGATTCACTTGAAATAAGACAATGTGATTGTTTTTTTCTTATTTTAAATGTAAACTGTCTTGTTCTACAGCAAAGTGTCTCACTTACCACATAAATTCAAGAAAAAATGCACTTATTTTAACTAAAAAAAAAACGACTTATTTAGATTTAGATTTTTTGCAGTGAGCTCAAGGTCCGATTGAAGGAGGAAATAATGCAAACATGTGCATGTGATCAGTGAAGAGTGATCCAATTAAGCAGTAAATAAGTGTGTTAATTACTTGTCTCATAGTACTATGCGCATCCTAAAGGCAGCTGTAAATTATAACAGTGTGGCAGATATGATCTATATGTGGAGAAGATGGCGCTGCAGGTACCAGATCTGCTCGGTGCTCCGCCCCTTCTTCATGACGTCAACATATGGCAACTCCACTCAGACAAACTGTATTGCACCTGTTTCTTAAGGATCAAATTTCTTGGAGTTTCAACATAGTATGACCTATATTTGCTATTATTTTACATTTCATTGGCGATCTAAAGAAGCCAAAAGTAGAAAACAATCAGTCAGTCTTGAAAGAAAGTTCTGCGTTCTAAAACTAAGCTCAGCCATTTAACAAGGTGACACAAAAAGTCTCAGTTTATTTTTAAGATCTGAGGGCAGAGGAGGACAAACCCCCCCCCCCCAAAAAAACAGTTATATTAAAATGAATGGTTGCTGTTGGTACAAATTAAAAAGTAGTGTAGCTTAATATGGCTAACTGACCGAGCTAAAGAAAGCTAACCTGTTTGCTACCAAACCAAAGCGCTACCCATCTCTCCCCCTTTATATCACGGTCTAACAGCTACTTTGTTCACCATAAAGATTTTTTCAGTTTTGTTATCGATCAGGTAAAACTGCATCGGTCATTAGACGCGCTAACGGACGCTGCGTGATGTTTTTATCGTTGTCTGAGCAACTGCTGTGTTTTATATGATGTGGCAATGTTCAGCCAATCATGTAGCGTGACGTCTCTGGCATGCCCAGGACCCGAGCAGATCAGTACCTACACCGGAAGAGGAGAAGAGAAGAGAAAGGACTCTCTTTAATGTAAAGGTTTAAAATGACAGAAGAAAAGAAGGAATCTGTGCACACAAGTATTTCCTGATACTTAGTATTTCCCCCATGTTGGTTCCCGAGCTACGTATAATATGACTGGAGCTTAAAGCTGACTATAATTCTTAAATTAATCATAAAGCTAAAATATTAAATTCATCAAAGGGATAAATTAGAGTTTCTTCTGTCAGTGCTTATCATGATAAGAAGCTAATTTAGCATTACACTGCAACAAATGATCTAAAACAGTAAATTGCTCTTAAATTAAGAGCGTTTGCCTTTAATTCCAGCAGGATATTAAAATTATCTGCTAAAGGAAAGAGTATCTCTGGCCTTATAATTAGATAATTACACATTATGCTCTTGAAACAAGTTAATAGAGTGATTTTATCTTGTTCTAAACTTACCATCTTATGCCATTTACATATTGTCCTACCTGTTAAAATCAAGGGAAAATACACTTAAGATTAAACTAGATTTCTAATTTTGCTGTGTATGTTTTCAGTGAAGGGGCTAGGGGCCCCCTGTTGGCCCCTGTATAGAAGCACTCACGTTGAAGACCTTCATGAATTGAGGATTCATTTGTTTTTGTTACATTTTCAACACTTTATGGAGAAAAATTTATTTTAAAGTCTTCATGCGTGACTCCCGCTCCATCTCATATCGTCCTTTTTTTTTTGGATCATAGCATTATTTTACCCTCTTTCAAGTATTTGGAGTTTAAAATCCTGGACGAGCCCCCAAATGTTTCAACCATGAGTGTTTATGTCCAAACAGAAGCAATGAGGGTGAGTTAAAGGTCGGCTGTAAAACAAATTTAAAAAACTCACAAAATGATATGAACTAAAACGAAGTCTTGAAGAAAGGTGCCTGTTAAAACCAATCTATGCAACGCAAGATGGCCGTGATTCTCAAGTAGCTGCTTAAAATTAACCAGTATGAAGGCCAGAAGAGCTGTTAAAAGGGAGTGGCTGCTTTAAATCTAAGGGGGTAACCAGGAAAAACATCCTGAAATACTCTAGAACTCACTATCTACCTCTTGTAGTACGCCAGCTCCTCCTGTAGCAGGAACACTTTGGCCTTCAGCTCATTCCTCTCATGCAGGACGTCCCTTAGCTCCTGCAGTGTGAAGCGGGGCCTGTTGGGATCCTTCGGGTCCAGAACGCCCGGCTCCTCCTCACACATCGCCTCCTGCCGAGACAACAGCGCATCAAACCAGAGTGAACTGAACCGGGGCAGGACGAAAGAAAAAGAGAGCGGGTAAGAGGCGAGGATACCTTGGTGAAATATTGGAACACACCAGGCATGTCCTCATCACACATCGCCTCCTGGTGGCATATGTTGAACTTCGAGTCAGAAATGAACCCTTTTTTTTTTTCTTCCCTAAACATGTAATTAGTTTACCTGTTTCTCCTTTATCTAAAATTTATTATGAGTTTTACTTTTCAGTCAGCAAAGCAGAAACAACCCGGGTTAAAGAACAACAATCCAAACTCATGCAGCTCACAACAGGCTATGTTATGCTCGCCATGTTTCAGCTGGAACACAGCGTTTGAGGTATTTATACTCTGTGCAGCTTTTCCCCAATATTCTGATCAAATCTAGGGGGATGTAAGCGACATATCACAAGCTTACGGTTGGAAAACGCAGCCGTTTCCAACAGTTCAAAGCCTCTTTGCTTTAGTCATTTGTTTCCAAGCGCTGTTTCACCTCCTGTCAATCGTAGTTTATATTTATGGTCCCAAACCCTTTCTATAGAGGTTTACGTTGCAAACACTACACCAGTAGGGAAAAAAATGTTTTTCTCGAGGAACTATTCACGTAGTTACAAGCTTTACTTGGAAAAATCATGCCAAACGGACGCATCGAGGATAAACCAGGCTTTAGCTGCCCCTTCAAATAAGTTTGAAAACATAAGCATCCGAGACGAATAGGCCTGAAACAATTAATCAGATTAATCATGATTAATCGATTATTGACATAATCGTCAACTAATTTAGTAATCGATTCATCGTTAACTGGAGTATAGAGATTCTAAATCGTATCTTTAACTGACAGAACCCACTTAGAGCAGTAATTATACCTAAACTGTTACAAAATATACAAACAGTTTGCATTTAAAATAAAAAACTTTTTCATCCGTCACTATGCTCTATCCAGAACTCCTCAAGTGGAAAAGTTTTATTTTCACCTGGATTGATTTTGAAATAAGTCTTCTTTAAGGAACCTTTAGCTATCTGAATATTAACCGATTAATCAAAAGAATAATCAACAGATTAATCCATTTGCAAAATTATGGTTAGTTGCAGGTCTAGAAACCAACAAAATCACACTTTTTAAATGAACAATATTTAAACTATTTTCAGTGACAAGTTTTTGATTTTAAAATAATATCTTCTGTTGACCAATGTATGATCAAATAAACAGGTCAATACTCAAACCATAAAACAAAAGACTTCTGAATTTGGTCTAGATTGATTGGTCTAAATTACTATTTTAAATATAATAAGTCAATTTGATCGTTTTTTAAGGTTCTTTTTAAGCAAATGTTTTTCAGTGTTCCTGATAAATGGTCATTAAGGGAAACAGGGCCAATGTCACTTTGATTTTAAAGCTGTTAAGGTACAGGACCCTGCGCCAAACTGGTGGATGCAGGTTTTGTTCGTTTAGCTGTTTGTTTCATTGAGTTTTTGCCAAAATGAAATGATGCACAAGTGAATCCTCTCCTCTACTTGGCGCAGCGCGCTTACTATCCTGTTTCTTACAACTTGTAACAACAACGGCACATTCGTTAGCCGAGCTAGACAGAGGAAGCGCCGCCATGATCCAGAACGGGTCCAGTTTGACTAACCGAACCCGCCCTAATCCGTTAGGAGGTCAACCGAACCCGACTCAGTGATATTTAACCCACGACCAGAGCCGTTAACACATGGAGGTCAGCTGCACCCTGACCCTTCATCCGTTTGAGCTTCTTTCTCCTTTTTCTCTATATTCACGTTTAGTCATAGTTTTAGTTTACAAAAAAGACAACAGAATTTTTTTTTTTTATTTTAAGCAGGAACCCGATAAATATTTTAAACTACTTAATATTAAATATTAGTATCATCAATGATTAATTATTATTATATTATTATTTAAATATGGCCTAATATTATTTATGAATTAAGAAGTTCATCACATATGTCCGCCCATACCTGTTAATTTTCATCTAATTAATTTTCTCTCACAAAAGAGCATTTTCCGTGTTTACTCATCGTATAAATTTGATTCATTTATTTATGAATTTATTATCCAGACGATCTGACCAAAAGAGGTTTAGTTTCTGTGATGAGCAGGAGTGAAATGAAAGGGGAGCCATTTCTGTTAAACGCTGCTATTAAAACTCAGAAGGTGTCACTTTAGATGTAAACTTTTGTTTTTTTTCTCCATTAGTTTTTGACACTTCTCAATGAAAATACAAAAAAAAAATAAAAAATACAGCAGCAGGATTTAATTAAGATGCATTTTCTTTATCTAGGAGTTCTCTTTCTCATTCAAACAATATGCCAAAAAAAAAAAAAAAAAAAGATGCATTTTCTTTATCTAGGAGTTCTCTTTCTCATTCAAACAATATGCCAAAAAAAAAAAAAAAAAAAACTTTAGTAAAGTTGTCAATAAAACACAAGATGTTTAATATTTGAGGGTTTTTTCCCCACATACACTAGTGTACGGGAGGAAAACTGAACCATAAATTGATTACACACCAAATCGACCCCTATTTTTCAATAATGCCATATTATGAAAACGAAGAGTTGGGTAAATCAGGCCTCCTGGTGCAGGAGAAACTTCACTCTCCACCTCTGGTGGTGTTGTGCAGCCAGATGCTCCGTTTGGGCGGTTGCTCTTAGATTTGCCATGCAAACACACCGATGGCAGAGTTGAGCTCTTCCAGAGCAATTAAAGAGGTGTGTAATGTCGGCAGACGTCCAAAACGTCTGAGCTCATTACTTAACCAAAGGTGTTGTCTCACATTGCATAACCGTGTTATGACTGGCAGCCAGCTACGCTGCTTCCCACTGCAGAGCCGTTTAATGAAGATCTTTTCTTTAGAGTTTCTTAATGACAGTTGTTACTGAAATCCCAGTTTGTATAGGATTTTTTTTTCTCCTTTAAGAGTGTCGGGTGTAAACTTCAGTGCAGTGTTTTCCATCTGGAACAGCTGTGAAGGAGCTTTTAACCGCTAAACGTTTGTTCACCGATAGATTTATGCTTTTTAACTGGTAATTGGTGCTTTCTTGCTATATTTGAACTGTATTCTTGGTGTTTATATTGCTTCTTTAAAAAGAAAGAGTCAATAATACCAACTGGATATAAATGAGGAGATCAAAGTTTTTAAATTTAGATATAATTTAACACGAAACATCTATTTTTAATTTATCTGTTGTCACCTTTGAAAAAGCTTTGATATCTTGAACTACTGTCAATCAAACTTTTTTGTTTTATTTCCATTTTAGACAGAAGTGTTTATCAGCATTGGGAAAGAACAGCGATCATGAAGAAATCCCTAATTGTTTATTATAACTTCACCATCTAATGCTTTCTCTGCTATTATATCAACCTTATAATGCAGGATTAATGATTAATCTCTTGAAATAGATTTTACAAGTTGTTTGGGGGGTGGGACTGTACATAAAGAATAAGAACAGATCATTTTTAGTCTTATTAGGGAAGCACAGATGTGAAAATCTGAGCAGGTAATGATTACAGATTGACCGATACTGTTTTATTTTCAAGGCTGATGCTGATGCCAATTATATGGACATCATTCTAACCGATCATTGATATATGCTGTCCATATTTTTGGGCAGGTTCCTAAGGCTGATATTGCTTCTCTTCCTCCATTTACAAAATTGCAGAATGATTACCATTTTGTGTTGGCATCAACACAAAATGCCTTCGATTAGAGCAGAATATTAAAACCAACACAATAAAAAAAAGAAAAAAAAGAAGCTAATATCGTCCAAAAATATCGGTCCAATTTTACTAATCTGCTCATAAATGACCAACACTGGCTGATACCGATATTAATGCAGAATTTTAGGACCGGGCTGTTATTCTATTGTTTATTAACATTTTCCTGTCAGGAGAAGATTTTTGATTTATCGTCAAAACAATGAAAACAGCCCAAAAAAAAGGCTAATTCGTCCAAACTGTTTTTTTACTTTCTTGTCCACTATTTTTGCAGACAGTAGAGAATTATAAAATGTCAAAAAATATGATCGAATGCATTTACTGTGTGGAGTTTAATTATAAAAATCACAGTTCCATATTTATTTCCCTTATGTTAGATAGCTATAGATTTAAAGAGCAGCTGTTTTTTACTGTGGGGCTGATATTGCTTAACCTGACTCCATCAGATGGATTTGCTCCGTATATCCATCTGGAACCCTTCCGTTGAAGTAATTTTGGGAAGGGGCAAAAATACTGGTTAGCTGATTGGCCTATGATGGTGATAGACGGGCCGAATAAACCAATCAGATCAATGAAGCATATGACGTACTAACAGAGCGACGACGAAGAGGAGCCAATTGATAGATCAAACTCTTGCCGAAACCAGTCGGGAGGAGATTAAAAACGTCTTTTCCTCTGAGAAAAGCCTCCAGAGCAGTGTTTTGCTCTTCTTTCAGTGAAGAAATACTCTGTAATTCCGATAAAACTTGCTCGATAGCCACGCTAACGCTAGTTTCATCGGCTGAAGCCGCCATGTTCTTTAGACTGAACTGTCGCGCTTCTCGTTGCGTCACACCTCACCCGCCTCAAAGCCAACGCTGATTGGACGTTCGTTTGGTGAACGGCTCCAAATTTTCTTTAACGGAGAGTCTCCAGACTGATTAGCGAGTGAAACCTTGAAGCTCGCGAGATCAGGATGGTCTCACGAGGCTGGATATTGCCGTGTTTCACAGTCACAGCCAAGATTTACTTAAAAAAAAAACAACAACAAAAAAACAAAGAAGGTTCTTCTATTATCATCACAATATTATTACGAAATAATATTTTTATCTCAATTTTTTAAACACTAATCCACATCCAAACTTTCCTGATATAAATGAGTTTTCTTTACAAATCAAGTCATAGTTTAGATGTCCCACTGTATCTATATAACTGATGTCATTTCTATCCAGACACAGATTTACTGCCTGCTGGGAGTTTCTCAGGTTGCTGCATAAAAAACTATAATATTTTACTACGCTGGATGTTCATACAAACAAATAAATACTTGTTTTCTTAAGTTAATTAGTGCCTTTTAATTTTTAGAATATAAATTTGTCAATTTTGGCTATTTTGTTTTGTTCTTTAAAAAAAAAGATTAAAAAAAGAACAAACTAAAAGCAATTTAAGATAAAAAGTCGTCCAAATGTTTAAGTTTGTAAGAAAGAAAACCAAACAGAGGCTATACTATCAAATATTTATTGTTTGTTCGGGTTTTTTTAAGAGTCTTAAGTCTGTTTGAGTATAATTTCAAATAAACTATTTCATATATGGAGGGAATTCTGCTCCATTACTGGAAGCAGAGAATGTTTTAAAAAATGGAAATTTAATGGAAATGGACATTTTATTTAAAAGAATTAATTCAGAAATGACAGTTGTCTTTTTTTTTTATTAAAGAAAAGGTTTGGAGAGTCATTGTCATTTTCACTGATTTTACATTTTCTATTTTTTTTAACTAATTTTTCTTTTTTTCTTCGATTTACATATTTAATATTTCCCCATGTTATTATTTTTTTCAGATTGAGTTTTATGAATCGCGTTCTTTTTAAACGGTGTCTCAAACTTCACATTCTTTTCCCTTCATGTCCGATACAAACGCCCACTCATGACCAATAAAAATGTTGTTGCTAATATCCAGCAGACCAATAGAAATACGTCTTTGCTCGATCACAGGAGAGCCCGCCCACAGAAGTTAAGAGAATGTGATCTATAAAAATACTATTTGAAAGAATGAAGATCTTTTCAACTTAATCTAAAAGAGAGAAATAAAAAAATCAGTTTGAATATATACAATCTGTAAAATAAAGTTTGAACAAAAATTTAATAATCATAATTAGAAAAAAGGTTACTCTCACAACCTTTTTTGATTAAGAAGTTTCATTTCTGGATTTTATTTTTTTTCTAATTTCCCTTTTTAAAATGTGTTCTTTGAAATAAAAAAGGAAGTGATATTTCTAAAATCCCTTCCTAAACTCCTGCCTTTATGAACTTGTTCCTGTTGGGCGTATGAAGCAGTTTTCTGGGGTTTGATGATCACGATGCTCTGAGAGAACAACTTAAAGAGGCTGAGCTCTGATGCCGATCTATATTTAGAGGTATCATCAGGGCTGTCATCTAAAAAAGTCTCACCCAGTTGGCAGGAGAGGAGGGAAAAACAACTTCCCTCTGATGCTTGTTAGTTTTCCAAACTGCCATGCAGAGACACTCAGTGCCACACCGTTAGTCCAGCTGCTGTTCAGCTTCGGGCCAAAAAGCCGAACAGACAGATTTGTTCAAACCACCCCGCATTACCCAAAGCAACGCAGCTTCGTCCTCAGCCTCCTCATCTTCACGTCCTTCTGAAGCGAGGGAGCTAGCGAGATGCTGCTGAGGTGGATCAAACCCACCCAGCACCAGCTGGTAGGCGTCCCGTCCGTCTGACCCACCCTCAGCACTCAAATCCACTCTGGCTCTTTTATCAGGCTGGTGGAGTAAAGGACAATTTATTATTTCCTTACTGAGTTCTCTAAATCAGCCTCTGGGCTGATTTCCGTGCTTCGCTCCCAGTGTAGTGTGGAACGCTTCAGCAGAACATTTCCACCTTTTA